CATTCCTGAGGGTGGGCAGATAAAGACTGACCCGGGGAAAGTTAAAGCTGTCTTGAAATGGCATGTAGACAGTTGCAGACAGATCTTTTATAAGAAACTGAAGCCAGTTTGTTTCACAATCAACCTTTCTCATCTCTTTCTCCAGGTCGTTTAAATGGAATCCCAAAGCCAAAAAAGCCTTCGCTGAGCTCAAGAGACTGTCAAGTCTACACTTGTCCTGGTTACCTGATCCTCATAAGCTCTTTGCAGTCAAGGTGGCTGCCCTAGACTTCGGAGTGGCAGTACATCAACCTTCTTTTCCCATTGTCTAAACTTTTGCAGACAAATTACAACTGACTTTGTCCCCCTACAGATCCTCCAACAAACATGTACATGTGTGGGGAAGCAGTACGTACAATCCACAAGATCTTGGATATCCACTGGCGAGGTTGGGGACTCCATTATCTAGTGGACTGGGAGGCATATGGAACAGAAGACAGATGTTGAATTCCCTGGTCATTCCTTTTGGATCCATCTCTTAATTGAAGACTTCTACAGGGTGCACCTAGACAAGCCAGCAAGAGCTTTAAAGGCGATCACTATTGTGGGGCAGCTGGATGGACTGGAAATCTGTTTTTCTTGTTTATTAAACTCGTTTTACTATTGAGTATCAGATGGTGTTAGTAGGCTGGCTCTTCTCTCTGGGTCTGTGCCTGGGTGGAATTTCTCAGTTTGAGCAGTCCTTGATGCAGGTGCTTGCATCTAATAATCAAGTGTGGAGTACAGAATCATTAGCCTATATAGCATTTTTTAAAAGTATATCCAAAGTGCTGTTAATCAGTGCAAGGAATTTGCACTGTAGACAGCTTTTCCAAACATCCTATTTTAAACACAGAAACAAAATAATTTCACAAAAATAAAACAAAACAAAAGACCTACCAAGGTCAAAATTATTACAGATTGTAGGTCCCTGAATCTGATAGTCAATTATGTATCCTTTTTGCTAGATAACAGCCTACAGTCATTTGATGCCTCACACACCTCTTTTGAGAAATCCCAGCCCATTCTTCTTTGGTGAATCTCTCAAGCACCTTCACATTCAATGGTCTTCTGGCATGAACCTTGGTTTTCAGTTCATCCCACAGATTTTTAATGAGAACCAAGTCAAAGCTTTGTGAAGGCCATTCAATAAAATTTACTTTGGTCTTCTAGAGGAAGTTCTTCATCAGGAGCGACATATGTTTTGGGTCTTTTTGGAAGACAAATTGATGACCCAGATCCAGTTCCTTTCAAAATCTTCACATATCCTTAATTCTTCATGATTCCTTCCACTTTGACAAGACTTCCAGTTCCAGACGCACTGAAGCATCCCTGCAGCATGATACTCCCAACTGGTCTCACTGTGAGGATAGTTTTTTTGGGTGGAATCCCTCTCTCTTCTTCCTCCAAATACATGCAATATCTCTATGGCCAAAGCGCTTTAGCTTTGCATAATCTTACCAAAGGTCTTGCTTCCACTACACGTAATGTTTGTCCAGGTTGCCCTTAGCATCCTTGAGTCTGGCTTGAATTTTCAGACAGAGTTTTTCTTGGTCTGCAACAACACCGTTTATTCCTGTATAGGTTTTTAGTGATTGTCTTCTTGGTGACCACAATTCCTCACTTGGCTAAGTCATGCACTACTGTCTTGGCAGTTGTCCTGGTGTCTTTAGACACATCTCACACTATTTTACTTTTCAGGCTTGTTCTGTAATGTCTGACTCTGAGTTTTTTGGTGATAGTACTCACTCCAGTGGTTGACACTTGGAAAAACTGTGATAACTTTGTATACCCATCTCTAGGTTTGTGAGCATCAACAACTAGCAGAGCTCCCATATGCAAAGCTGTAGTGCTGCTAAGTCTTCCCACCAACTACTCTCTATCAGCAAGCCATTCACTCCTTAACAGTTAACAATTTAAATTTTCCAACTTTTCCCTGGGTGTGCTCTTTGGATTTGCCTTTTTCCCAAGCATGACAGCATCGTAGATGGTATAACAGATGGACATGGTGACTGCGATGCCATCTGTTGGTCTTTGAAGTCCTGTTTTTAAGCCTCAAAATAACAGTTTACGCCATTACCATCAAGTAGATATGAGAAGTAGGAGTGGGTGTAGGCGTGAAACCAGACACTCTTTAACTGACGAGTTGTGATTAACAGGTGTGAGCATGTAGTTTTATACTACAGATAATCCCTCATTTTGAAATATAGAATGACCAAGATGAACAATTTGACAATTTTCTATTCACCCAAAATGAACAAGCCCATAAACTCAATGGTAAATGTTTATAGGGGTTATTCAGTGAACCGTTTTATTTATTGGGGTTTTTTGTAGTTCGTTTTTTTTTTTTTTTTTTTTTTTATCTCACTTTTCCCTATATATGTATTTGTAAATGTATTTCTTTGTACAAAATACATTAATCACACTAATGCTTTATACAACATTTAGCTACATGCTAATTTTCATCTGCAGTCTCTGAGCACTTTGATAGGACCAGAAGTATTTATGCAATCACAGCATCTGGTGGCCTTCAGATATAATCCAGGTTTAAGGTACTACCTACTTCCATCTTTTATTCTATGTGTGATTATTATTGTATTAAAATATATAAAAATAGAAACAGCAGGACTGTGTTTTAATACAGTAGGTGGTTTGAAAGGAACTAACCACTGTACAACTGCTGTCATCAGATAAGTGAAGTGGTATGCAATGTAGACTTATCTGAGGCACTGAATTAGAGCAACAAGTCCTTCTGATGGGACTGGAACTAATGTGAGATGTCACAAAACTCTGAATTGACTGAAGAAGGACATGTAGTAGAAACGACTTCACCTTTTGCTGAAGTATGGAGATTCTGCATGGTTCACTACAACATCTTCCATGCAAATGTTGGTCTTGATTATGCAAATATATTATTATGTTAATGGTGTCCAACTTTAATAATGCATGATGTTGGCATACTGATAATGCATTGCATTTATTGTCATGCAAATTCTAGGTTAGAAGCATATTAATTGGCACTTATCAGATATTCCTTACTTTGGTTAATAATGAGTAGGCTGTTTATCCATACTTTTTTCAGTCTTTCTTTTAGGCCTGTGTGTCTTATGGTATGATTCACTATTCAACATCATAGATCTTTGTTAGTTTTAACAGCTGCCTGTTACCAGTCCAGTTCTTCTCTCACAAGCTTCCTGAGCAGCCATCATCGACTTTCAAAAGCCAAAATCTGATCCATTTGATCGCATGGCCCCCTTGCTAACAGGGAGTAAGATGTGAGTCATCCTCACTCCAATGCCCGCTTCCCTTAGCAGAAAAACTTAAAACGAGCTTTTGCCAGCGTCACAGGAGAATACCTTCAGAAACACTCTTTTGCTTTTTTTATGTTGTTGTCAGATTGGCGGCGCTTGTGGAATGTTCACAGGCACTTGGGGACGAGCGCATAGTGGTGAGTGGCAGACCGACCAACTGACAGCCAGTGAGGCTGTCTCTGGAGGATTCCTACTCAGGAGGTGTCGCTGAGTGAACTATCAGAGACTGTGATGTGCATTAGGCTGTGCAAGAGACCTCCACAAAGAGATTTTTTTTGTGTGGCTGACATTATGAGAGATTCATTAGCTGTCTACTGTTTTTTTCTGATCATTACTCATCAAAGGGTTTCATCTTTCCAGACAGTGATTGACAGGTTGAAATAACTTGATTTCTACCTCTCTGGCAGATTTTATCGCAGCACATACTGTACAAGAACTGTGATCTGTTCATCATCTTGTTTTTTTCTTTACTTTGGGTAGAATTTATAACTGCTGCAATCATATTGTTTCACCACAGTATGTAGTTTCTTATGTGATTTTTATTTTGGCCATAATACCACATCATGCATAACTGCTGTTGGAAACATCCAATTAGTAGCACTCAGGGTATGTTAGCTTAGTTAAGACCATATATGTACACATACACACAAACACGTCATAAATGTACAAACACACAGAGACATGCATGCAGGGAAGGAATGGACCAAGAAAATGCATATAACCACTTGCTGTTTCCACATGAGTTCACTCATTGGGAATGGGGGATGGGAAACCTGAGGTGTGTGAGGGGAAAAGAGGAGATCATGGCGGCAGCAACAGTGGGAGCGGTATGGTTGTGGTGGCAATCTCACCGAATCACGAGTAGTGGGAATGACTTCATTAGGAGGGCCTGTAGAAACCTGGTGCCTGGGAATTCTGTTTGTGGTGGCGACTAGAGGGAAGGAAGGAGTAGAGAGAGAAGCTGGATAAATCCTGAATCCTTCTTTTATCTGGCAAGTGATGGAGAGATCCAAATCAACAGTTGCCAGTCAGACGGGCCCCAGGGCAAAGGCCTCCAGCAGTGGGGGTGGTTGGATGGATGGGGAAAAGATGACAGGGAACGTGGGGGCTTGCAAGGACAAGGTCTGACTGATGAGCTGAGTGTCAACCCAGGGTTTTTCCACAGGTTTATCACATCGTTTCCTGGTTTACACACATTGGTTTAGTGGATTTGCATTAGCTTTTTATCATTTTTAAGCTACTTAAAAGCTAGTTTCATCTATGAACTTAATATGACTTTTATCACTGTTTGTTTCATTACTGTTAGGTTATTAGGTTAATTTGACACTTTTAGTTAAAAATTTTAACAATTTACCTGTTTGTTTGTTTGTTTTTTTCATTTTTGTTTTACCTCCCCTTTGATTACTTTTAGCATGGTATAAGATCTCAGTAACCCAGTAAGGTCAAATTTGTCATTGGCGATAATTAACCATAACTTAGGCAATCAGCCTAATTAACCTATTTAACTTGGGCAATCAGACAATTTTTTTAAAAGAATTGCTGTCCCAAGTCTTAGCAATCACAGAAGAAATAAGAAGTCATTCCAAATGACAAACAAAAACTTTCATATTTTTTAAACAGTTGATCCATTAAGCTAACCATTTATGCATTAGTTCAATAAAGAGAGATCACTTGGAAGAAGTTAACATGATTTATTGTGATAGAGGGATTAATGTATTTGGAGATTTAAAAAAGGAATTCCAGTGGTGATAGGACTTAGGACACCACCCTCCCCAGTCTAGAAGCTGGTGGTAGCGAAGATGAAGACTGAGGTTTCAATAGAGCTGATGGGGAGATGGGGAAGAGGTGGGTTGCATGAAACAGAGTCTAAAGGGAAAATGACAGAGCAAAAGATTTCAACCATGTAAAGCAGAGGCTGATTGGCTCAAACAACGCAGGTGAGAAGATGTTAGGACTAAAGTAGTGATGTCAGTTGACAGCTAAGAAAGCATTAATCATGTAAATCCTTAATGCAGGAAAGCAGCCAGATGAGTGACTGCAGATCTTCCTTATTGAGCTTCTGCATAAGTTTAATTTCTAGCGACATATTTGAATAATTATCCATGAGCTTTAACAGCAAACTAACCTTTTCAGCCCTTTTTTAAAAACCATATATGCTCTAATTTGACTTACTTTTAGTAGTTTTCATTGTTCACTAAGAATATTTAAGAAAATATTTGAACAGTATTTCATTTAGCTATCTATTTCAAGCTTTTGTAGCACACTGTTTAAACTTCCTTGTTTTCTTTGTAAAAGGAATCTTTTTCTACAAGTTGTAGGATTTAAGAACTGCTGGCTCAACATATGTGATGATGGAGTGCAAACCCCTAAAACACAGGGCAACTGCAAACCATCCAACAGTCTGAGGATTAGATCTATCTTCTATATGAATTTTTACTCATACAGAATTATAGAGGTGTAAGATACTACATATAAAACATATAAGTAATATAATATATATATAATAATGTAATAATTATAATACAAAATGCTGCAGGAAGAGTACTTACAGGACTAGAAAGAGAGAGCATATTTCTCCTATATTCTTATATTCCTCCTATATTTCTCCCCTTCATTGGCTCCCTGTTAAATCCAGAATTGAATTCAAAATCCTGCTCCTCACATACAAGGTCTTAAATAATCTTATCATCTTATCTTAATGACCTTGTAGTACCATATCACCCTATTAGAGCACTTC